TGTGGTTAAAAAAAAAAATACATACAACATACATATACCATACTCAGACACAACAGAAAAAAGGATATATATATATATATATATATATATATATATATATATATATATATATAATAAATAACGTAATCCCAATTTTGTAGAAGAAATGTATAAGCTTAGGAAAAATCATAGAAATAGATACATCAAAATATTAATAAAAATTATTATTCTGTGTGACAGTTATAAGTAACTTATTTTCTTTCTCTAATTCCAAAATTTCCTTAAAAAATCAAGTATTCCTTTTACAATCAGAACATGATGTAAAAAGAGAAGAAATTGTATCACAATTACTTATAGGAATAAACATTGTAAAAACTTAAAAAGCCAAACAGCTACCACTGATTGCTTCTAAAAAGTTGAACAACAGGGAAATTGGGCAAGCCCACAGGGTTAATATTGGATGAACCTAGCATAAAACAGGCAGGTAAGTAAGATGTCCAGTTGTGATTTTTCCCACTGCTACAGTGTTGGTGAGTATAAAGAATAACAGAACCTGGGGAAATCATTACAATTGTCATCAGAAGGGGGATTTGGAGGAAGGGGTTGGAATTTTATTTGGCTCTTCAGTGCTATAAAGTGTGATCTCCCAAAATACAGTCTAAGTCCAGAAATAAATACAAGAGTAACATTTGATGTTGGACACTCCAACTTTTTATTTTATACTACCAAATTATTTGTTTAAAAATATTTTTCATTGCAACAAAAGTAATATATGCTTAAAATTTTAAATGTGGAAAATATATAAAATATAAAGAAAAAAACTGAAGTCCAACTGTTTTACTACCACCCAGAGACAAATACTGTTAACATTTTGATGAATTTGTATTCTGATGTCAATTTCTTAACATACTAAGAATTATGTTAACAAAAAATGTAACATACCTACAGCATCACAATAAAAATATATTAAAATTATGCCATTGAAGCATTCCATGAGACACACCAAATGCCCAGTAAGAATCAGAAGGCACTTTCAACATTTATCAAGGTGGCAATGAAGACCTACACAAGGGCCTAGTATGCAAAGGTTAGCGCCCAATAAATATTGAAGGAATGAATACATTTTTCACAATAGCCAAGAGCTGGAATCAGCCCAAATGTCCATCATCGGATGAGTGGATACGGAAAATGTGGTATATCTACACAATGGAATACTACTCAGCTATAAAAACGAATGAAATACTGCCATTTGCAACAACATGGATGGACCTTGAAAGAATAATATTAAGTGAAACGAGTCAGGCAGAGAAAAAGAAATACCACATGTTCTCACTTATTGGTGGGAGCTAAAAAAATAAACAAATTAATTCACCCACAAACACACACAAAAACACACACACACACACAC